AAATCTGGGTGGTCAAAAAATTTTGGGTTTTAAGTAAAATAATTTTGTCTTCTATGAAAAACTATTTCAACTTTTTTCCCCGAAATTGTAATTTCAGGACCCCAAAATAATTTTGCGTGCAAGTATAATGTATATATTCTAGGAAACAGTTTCACAACCAGAAGTTACACAAATAATTAATATAAATTTTAAGGTTTTAAGCGTTTTTTTAATTAAGGAAGTAAATTATATTCTTAAGTTTTAAATTGCTCCACTCTGTCAAGGAAACAAATTATATTTTTTAAGTTTTAAATTGCTCCACTCTGTCAAGGAAGCAAATTATAGTTCTTAAGTTTTAAATCACTTTGCTTTGTTAAGAAAACAAATTACAGTTCTTGAGCTTTTAGAGGCCAGTTTAAAAAAGAAAAAAACACCTTCTCTAGAGCACATTCCTAGGTATCGACTTCTGATATATATCAAAAATTATTATTGATTTTAGCAATTTTAGTTCTAAAAACTTGCAAACTAAAAGTGTATAAAAAAAAAAAAAAAACACACCTGCCAAAAAAAAAGTCTGCTCATTCTTTCTGCTGCTACAATTTTGGAATCCCAAAATAATTTTGCATGCAAATATAATATAAACAGTACAGTTAGATTCTATATAGTCATATCTTTCATAAAACTAATATCTATCACAAGTCAAATACAAAAGATATGCTATACTGAAAAAGAATTCTGATTTTAGTTAATTTATAATATAGGATGTAATAGAATAATCAATTTTTACTAATTTTTAGCTAATCTATAATATATAAATTTTGATTTTTAATATAAGAATCACCATTTGATATAGTGATTCTTTGTATTTAACTAGTGTATTAATGCTATATAAAAAAACTTCTATAATTGTTGTATCTCTATATAGTCATAGTTTTTTGAATTCTGAAAGTGTAACTATAGAAGGATCTGACTGTATATCCTATCCTTTAAATTAGATCAAAATTTTTTATCAATTTCTATGGTTAAAATTTTATTTCTAAATATAATAAATAAAGTTTTAATGTAAAAAAATTGAACAATTTTTACCATAACCAAGTTCCTATTATAGAGGTTCCACACTGTATCAAAAAAATAACCATATAAAAATACCTGTCATAATTATTTACAGGAGTTACAACCAGTTGCTAATTGTACCATATGTCTTAATTAATTGCACCATATGTCATAATTGATTACATCACTTTTTTGAATTATGATGCCTTCCAAATCACATGAATTTATTGTAGATCTAAAATTATATAGACACTTTCATCATTTATAATTAAGCAATGAATAACAATTTTTAGTTAATTAATTTAACTTAAACAAAATCATCTTTCAGTGAAATTTCATGTTTTTTTTTTCAAAATATTTTTTTTTATTAATTATTGTTATTTAATTAACTCTAATTTTTTTGGTTATTAATAATTTAATAGAAGTATCCTACAAATGAAATGGAAATTATAATGACGATAATAAATAAATCAAATAAAAATAAATAAATAGAAAAAATAAATAAATAAATAAATAAATAAATAGAACAAAATAAATAAATTACCTATAATTTTACCACCAGTGTGTTTACGTCTGGCCTCGTGATGATCCATAATACCAGCACTAGTGGTCAAAACTTTTAAATAAAAAAAAAAAGATCAATAATCGTTTTTCCTTTAAACAAAATATAAAAAAAAAAAAAGAAGAATAATAAAAATACCTAAATATCCGAATTGACGTGATGGCAACAAATTGTTAACCCAATTTTCAATATCTTCTAATTTTATATTGAAACGTGGTGAAATTACATTGCATTTATTCAATCGACCATTTAATTGAATGACAATTTTTCCCGAACGGTGGTCATCAATTTCCTCAAATTCTCCAATATATTCTATATTTGAAGTAATTATCAAAAATAAATAAAAATAAATAAATAAAAAAAAATAAATAAAATAATTGTAAAAATAGTTATATTAATAAAAATAATAATAATAATAATATAAATAATTAATCAAATATAATAATTTAAATTGTGACAATGCACTAAACATCAAAAGTGGTTTCAAAAGTATAATAACTAATGACGTGTAATATGCACGTCAATAAACATTTAGTCTTTCGAAGCATTAAAAAACAAAAGTCAATAGAGAAATATGAACGACTTTCATTCAGTTATAACTTCGATGTCAAAAGAAAAGAAATTCATTCATTTTAAAAAAGAATTCAAGGAATTTTCTTCGGGGGAGAGGATGATCTTACCATGTTTTTGCATTACTCTCAAGAATTTCACAACAACCTTGGAGGATGGTCGAATTAATACTTGGCGTTTTCCACGTTTTTCGGCATTGACAATATTGTTAAGAGCATCATTCTAAAAAAAAAAAAAAAGAAGTTAATCAAACGACCAAAAAATATATACATAAAGAAAAAAATATAAATTAGATATCTTTAAAACATACCAAAACCGAAATTCGAACCATTTTGTCTTATGAATTTTAAAATTTTATAAATTCAAAAAAAAAAAAAATCTCTAGAATCCAGACAAAAAATATATATATATAATGGAAAGATATGAAATGAATAATTTTGAGCTATAATGAGTGTCGCTCTTTTTTTTTTTAATTTATAAGAGCGATTCAAAAAGCCATATTTTAAGTCATAAAGGTATCATTTTGCTTTTCGATGATTTCTTTATGACTAGATATCGAAAAAAAAAGATTTTTCATGCTAATATTCTTGAATATTATATTGAATCAAATAATTCGAATCAAGATAATTTTAAATTGAATGGCATTGTTTTTTGAACTGGAATTGAAAATATAAATTTTTATCCACTTACCTAAACAAAATTGTCGAAACTATAATTCGAGATCGAGGATTAAATTTCGAGAGATTAAAAAAAAAAATTGTTTTTTTTTGCGACCAATCAAATTTCATCACACAGATCATTATAAAAACGGATAGTTCGTAGTAGATCTTTAAACCAACGATGCCGACTGTTAACGTTGATAAAGAAGAACTTTATAAAATTCTCGGAAAGAATTATAGTAAGTGACAAGAAAAAAGTTGAGCTCAATGTGGTCCCATTGTTCGGAGATTAAGTGATTTTCAAATTCGACATTTTTTCCTTTTATTATACTACGTAATTTACATAAATTAATGACATATTATTATTTAAAGAACATAAAATAGTTTTTTTGTAGAAATTCTGCTAACTACGCATTATTGAAATTTTTCCTGCTTATTAAGCTACGGATGAATTTCGTGAATTATGCTTCGAATTTGGGATTGAACTCGAAGAAGATGTACGATAACTAATGAATATTTGTCAAATATTTTTAAGTGTTTATAAATTATTACCAAAAAAAATGATTTAATTCTATATTTTATTGAAAGAATAGACTTCCGAAAAAGAAATGGCGAGTAAAGAAGTTGGTGAAGTTAAGGCCGAAGGATTATCTGACCGACCAATTCTGAAAATTGATATTCCTGCTAATAGGTAACAAAAATTATTGTAATCAAATTACATTCTTATTTATATTAAAAAAGATATATGATAACTTTATTATTATTATTATTATTAGATACGATCTTCTTTGTCAAGAAGGCATTTCCCGTGCAATATTAATTTTTCTGGAAAAATCTAAAGCACCTTTGTATCAAGTAGTTAAACCCAAGGATGATTTAATAGAAATATTCATAAAACCCGAGGTAGATATTAAAGAATCTTTTTTTTTTTCACTTTTAAAAGATAAAATGTAAATTATTTAAAATAAAATATAATTATTAAAAATAAAATTTAAATAATTAATGAAAAAATAAAATTGAATTACTCCGGTAAAAAAAATCTAGACAGCTCAAATTAGACCTTTTGTTGTGGGTGCCATATTAAGAAATATCAAATTTACTGAAATGAATTACAGCAATTTCATCGATCTACAAGATAAATTACATAATAATCTTTGCCGGTATTATTTATTTTCTCTTTTAAAGTGATATATTTAAATATATTTAAATTATTGATATATTTAAAAATTTTGACTATAAAAATAGAAAACGTACATTAGTAGCTATTGGTACACATGATATGGATACATTAAAAGGTCCTTTTACTTATGAAGCTCTTCCTCCCAAGGAAATTAACTTTTGCCCTTTGAATCAGACCAAAAAATTCAATGCGGAGGAATTGATGACTTTTTATGAGGTATAAAATATGAATTTTTATTCACCAAATTTATGAATTTATGAGATAAAAAGTTTTTAAATCGCAATTTATATATATATATGCTTAAATAGAATGATAAACATTTGGGAAAATTTTTACACATCATTCGTGATTCGCCAGTGTATCCCGTTATTTATGATTCAAATCGAGTTGTCTGTTCTATGCCTCCAATTATCAACGGAGATCATTCGAAAATTACGTTAAACACAAAAAATGTGTTCATAGAATGCACTGCAACTGATTTAACCAAGGCAAAAATAGTTTTGAACACAGTAGTTACAATGTTTTCTGAATATTGTGAGCAACCTTTTACGTGAGTTTCTTTTTTCTAAATTCCTCTTTTATTTAATCCTTTTACGTTTTTTTTTTTTTTTTTTTTTTTTTTTTTTTTTTTTTTTTTTTTTTTTTTTTTTTTTTTTTTTTTTTTTTTTTTT